GATATGGCTACTACTGAGGGACTTGAGAACCCTACTATTGACACCTCTACCGTTGAGACATCTATGGGTACTTCCACTTTTATGTTTGACCAGTATACAGTGCCTACTAGCACAGTTGCATTACCAGCATTACCAGGCATGATCTCTCAAAAAGTTACGACACAATTGTTGAATGGTCGTAACTTCGCTGAGTGGTCACGCTCATTCCAGCTTTTCTTAGGCCGTGTAGGGAAGCTTGGTTGGCTGACGGGATCTCACCCAAAGCCAGCTGATGCCGACCCTGGATATTCTGCATGGTTCTCTGAAAACTGTGCCATTCTTGGATGGTTATTTGGCTCAATGGAGCCCTCTGTTTGCAGGATCCACCAGTTTCATAGCTCTGTTCCGAAGCTATGGAGCGCATTATCAGAGATGTATTCTCAGTCAGGACGGGGAGTTTGTGTTTATGAGCTTTCTCAGGAGCTCTCATATGCTCGGTAGGGAGATATGACCGTTCAGGATTATTATGGCTATTTGACCCAGCGCTGGCTTGAGTATGAGTCTTTACGTCCTCTTGCTGCTATTCCGAAGATAGAGCCCGAGGGAGCAGCATTCTTGCATACTCGAGAGCAGGAGGATAGGATTCACAACTTCCTTATGGGGCTTCGTGATGAGTTTGAGGGACCTCGTTCTCAGATCTTGTCGATGTTGACACTTCCTTCTCTTTATGAGGTGTATGGGATGATTGAGCAGCATGAGCGTCGAGTCCATATTGCATCACTTCCAGTTGCAGCTTTGCCTCCTTCGATTGACCAGATGGCCCTTGCAGCTGCTGTAGGGTCCCGTTCAGGATCCTTAGTCAGGGATAGGCAACGCTCAGACCAGCGCCGTCAGGGCGCCCCAGATCAGCGCAGACGGGGGGATTCCCGTCAATGTGATTATTGTGGCCGACCAGGACATCTCAGGGCTACTTGCTGGAAGCTCCATCCAGAGCTTAAGCCACCTTCTCGCAGCCGTACTGTTGCTATTGCTGAGGTACCACCGCCCACTACCGCCACTCCTGCTACTGCTCCTCCTTGGCAAAGTGATATGGATGCTATCACTTCCCGATTAGATATACTTATGTCTGCTCTGACTTCTCAGAGTCTGACTACTGCTGCTGTCACCACTACAGGTATATCTCGTGCCTTTCACGCTTGTGCCAGTTCATCTCCCCTTTGGATGTTGGACTCGGGTGCGAATGGTCACATGACAGGTGAGGCCCATCACTTCACCACTTTTGACGAGCCATTACATACACAGGTTCAGTTAGCAGATGGAACACATGCCCCTATTGTTAGTAGGGGTACAGTCCGTCTCCCAGATGGCCTTACATTACATTCGGTTTTTCATGCGCCAAAGTTGCCATGAATCTATTATCTGTACATCAGTTAGCCAGAGATTTTCACTGTGCGGTTGTATTCTTATCTGATTCGTGTTATTTGCAGGACCTGAGTACCAGGAGGATTATTATCAAGGGACATGAGAAAGATGGACTGTATTATCTTGGCAATCCATCTCCAGTTTCACCAATTCCTTCACCTGCACCTGCTTTGTCTTTTTCTGTTCCTAGCTTGCATGCTAGTATTTTACCTAGTAGTTGTCGTTATGATTTTTCGTCACAAACTGTTCAATTGTGGCATGACCGTTTTGGACATACAAATTTTAAATATTTATGTATGTTGTTTCCTGCTTTGAGTAATGCTTGTGTTGGTGGTAAACTTGATTGCGTTATCTGTTCCCTATCAAAACATGTTAGGGCCAATTATATTCCTCGCATGCACCAGTCACCCAAGCCATTTGACCTAATACACTCTGATATTTGGGGACCCTCTCCCGTTACTGCTCTGTCAGGTGCCAGATATTATGTGACATTTATAGATGATCATACCCGTTGTACTTGGGTCTACCTTTTGCATAGGAAGTCTGATGTGCTCCCTATAATCACTCAGTTTTTACAGATGATTAAGACACAATTCGATGTCATTGTTCGTGCTCTTCGTTCGGATAATGCCAAAGAATATGTGTCTGATGCTTTAGTGTCTCACCTTTCTTCTCAGGGTATCCTTCAGCAACTCACTTGTCCATATACTCCTGAGCAAAATGGTGTTGCTGAGAGAAAAAATAGGAGTTTGATAGGGATGGTACGTTGTCTGCTTAGAGGCATGAGGGTACCAAAATCTTATTGCCATTTTGCTGTTTTGACTTATACCTTTCTGTGCAATCGTACGCCGAGTCGTGTTCTTCAGCATAAGGCTCCCTTACAGGTCTTATTTCCTGAGCGGACACTTTTTTCGGTCCCCCCTCGTGTTTTTGGATGCACATGTTTTGTTCAGGATCGGTCTCCTACTCGTCATAAACTTGATGATAAAGCGATTCGTTGTATCTTTGTGGGCTATTGTCATCAATCTAAGGGGTATCGATGTTATGATCCTATTAGGCGTCGTATGTATCACAGTCTAGATGTTACCTTTCTTGAGCATATTCCTTATTTTCCTTTCAGTCCTTTGTCTGCCCCTCCAGTTGATGATACTCCCTTTGATTTTCCATTACCACAAGAGTCAGAGTCATTGATCACTATCCCTACAGGGTCATCCGTTTTTCCTCCAAAGGAGTCACTCATCCCTGTCAGTACAGAGTTACCAGTCTCTCTTCCTTTGCAGGTGTATGCTCGTTGTCCTCGCTCTCATCACCCTGCTGATATCCCCTCTACCTCAGGCGATGCAGGTAATACTTCTCAGTTTGTTGAGCATATTGATGCACCTGTTGTTAGTACTGATGAGATTACAGGTGCTGAGCCAGTTACTTTACCTGATAAGATATTATCAGTAGAGGATGGTGATTTAGGGCGTCGTTATCCAAGGCGTGATCGCCGTCCAGTTGATCAATATGGTTGGACCGCAAAGATTTTATATCCGATCTCTGCTTATGTTTCTTATGGTAATCTGTCTCCCACATTTCGAGCTTATACTATGGCCTTATCAGATACGCTGGTTCCTCGCTCTATTTCGGAAGCTATGCGGGAGCCCCAGTGGGTTCTTGCCATGCAGACAGAGATGGACGCTCTTGAGCGTAATCATACATGAGATCTTGTCTCCTTACCTTCAGGGGTGAAGCTTGTTGGCTGTCGCTGGGTTTACACCCTGAAGTTTCTTGCGGATGATACTATTGATCGTTACAAGGCTAGACTTGTGGCGAAGGGCTTTACTCAGGTACCAGGTCGTGATTTTGGTGCTACATTTGCCCCCGTGGCAAAATTGACTACTGTTCGGTTAATTATTTCTCTGACTGCGGAATACTCTTGGCCTCTTCATCAATTAGATGTGAAGAATGTGTTTCTTCACGGTGATCTGGACGAGATTATTTATATGGATGCACCACCGGGCTTTCGTGGTGAGGGGGAGTATGCTGGAAAGGTATGTCGACTGCGTAAGTCTCTTTATGGACTGAAACAGTCGCCACGAGCCTGGTTCTATCGCTTCAGTGATGTAGTCATACGATTGGGGTTCACCAGGTGTCATTCTGATCATACCTGCTTTATTCGACGGAATACTTCTGGACAGTGTGTCATCCTTCTGGTATATGTTGATGATATTATTATTACTGGTGATGATGTTTCTGGGACTGCGCAGGTCAAGATAGACCTTGGGAAGGCCTTCGATGTGAAGGATCTTGAATTTCTGCGATACTTTCTTGGGATTGAGATTGCCCGTAGAAGCAGAGGTATTGTTCTTTCTCAGAGAAAGTATGTTTTGGATCTTCTTTCAGACACTGGGATGTTGGGGTGCAAACCGGCATTATCACCTATGATTCCAAACCTGAAGCTTACTGCTGAAGGTGATGAGTTGAAAGATCCGACAGTTTATCAAAGATTGGAAGGTAGACTTATCTACTTAGCCAATACTAGGCCGGACATTTCATTCGCAGTCAGCCGAGTTAGTCAGTTCATGCATAGGCCATGTCAGCCTCATCTTGATGCAGTTTATCATATTCTTCGGTACCTCAAGTCTTGTCCTGGACTTGGGTTGTTTTATGCATCAGGATCTCAAACCGGTTCTCTAGCCTGCTATTCAGATTCAGATTATGGGGGAGCATGTGATGGTCGATCTACTACGGGTTTCTGTGCTTTTCGAGGGACTCATCTTATCTCTTGGAAGAGCAAGAAGCAGGCAGTTGTCTCCCGCTCGTCTGCAGAGGCAGAGTATCGGGCATTGGCACTTGGCACATGTGAGATTATCTGGCTACGATCGATTCTTGACGAGTTGGGTTTTTTAGTGACCTCTCCATCCACATTATATTGTGATAATCAATCTGCTATTCAGCTCGCTTCTGACTCTGTACTACATGAGAGAACGAAGCATATAGAGATCGATGTTCACTTTCTTCGGGAGAAGGTCAGCAGTGGTCTTGTTACTCCATCGTTTGTGGGGAACAGTGATCAAGTTGCGGATGTTTTTACCAAACCTGTAACTCTGTCTATTCTTCGGGACTCCGTTGTCAAGCTTGACTTAGTTGACATTTTTGCGCCTAGCTTGAGGGGGAGTGTTGGAGTATAGATAGTCTAGGTTTATTAGGATTTCTTTTCCCTTTTTTACCCTTATTATGATTTTTATATTTTGCCTAAACTACAAGGATGTTTAAGTCACTTTGTATTATTTTTGGATATATATACGGGGTTCTACTCTTAATTTGAGAACCTCCTTTTACTCACAATTATTTCAAGTCTTCCAAAAAAAATTGCCGTTAATTTTGATGATATTATATAATAGATTTTGAAGTTCTATCAATATGTCATTAGTCAATACTTTTTTTTCAAAATTATCCCCTCCTAAATCTGTCTGGTCCAACCCACAACTGTACACTCTGCTGCAGATTAAGTGAAAATTACCCCATTTAGTCTATAAAGAAATCGCTCAGGGTGAGGAGAAATCTGACACACACACACACACATATATATATATTTCCATTTTTCGATTTCTTACCGCACTTGGTGGATAACATGAGGAGCTCAGGACTGAATGGCACAATCATTCCAAGAAATGAGCAGTAACTTGTGCACAATTTCTGATTGTCGCCCCGATGGAAGCAATACCCCAACTCGCAATTTTCACACTGAGTTTTGAACCATGAAAGCTCAAACCCATATTCTATGGCGTCGTAGATGTCTGAAAAAGAGATATTGTTATCATCCTTAAACGGCCATGATGTCATCACCATTAGCTCTATATTGCACCTCTCTCTCACTTCTACTGCCCTCAAGCCGCTAACATTGACATAAGAGTGTATTCTGGAAGAGGAGGAGAAAGAGGAGTTTGCAGTATAAACTCCATTGATGCACTGTCCTATCTCCAGGTAGAGAGGAGAATCAACTGGATATGGGCAATTCAGAAAAATTATAGGCTTGTTTATCTGCTGTCTAAATTGTCGGATGTCCCATATATGGTTAAAAGTGCTATATGGATCTTTCAAAGTGAAGTTGTGTCTGGTTAAAGGATATTGAGGAAGAAAGGAGCAATTATCTATTTTTTGTACAGCAGAGTCAACAAGGCGGATTGTGAAGTTAGGATAGTTGATAGATTGAACGAGGTATTTACGTTTATTTTTATGGGAACCCAAGTATAAAACTGCAGCATTATTTTCACAAGCAAACTCATATTTGGGGTTACCACAGTTTTTTGGATCATTTTTCAATCGGAAAGGGTAACTGATGTTATGGATATTGCCGCAGGAAGAAGGGTCACAGTGATGATTCTGCTTACATCAGCATGGTTGAGGGAAGTGGATGAGAACAAGGACTGGGATGAAACCCACAACAATCAAATTTTCTCTCAACATTGGAGGGGAGAGAGAGAGAGTTTCCAACAAGAATAGAAGCGAGTTTTCAGAAGAGGTGAAAGGGCGGCATATATGTAGACGTAAATTTTGAAAAACTTTATATGGAAGACCGTATTATTTATCTTTTTTTTTTTTTTCATTTGGTTATTATGTTTTTATCAATTTATAGAAATATTTATGATGATCTAAAATAGAGTAATTAATAATTTCACTTCAATTAATATTTGAACACAACATATATGTGGATTTTAAAGAGCAAAGAAAAGTAGGAACATGTCTGTTTTGTGGTTTCTAAATGGTTAATTTGACAGAATATTTTAAAGTACAATGTGAGAAAATTAATTATTTGAAAGATAAATTGATAATTTTTGTATTTTTTAAGGGACAAAATGATATTTTTTCCAATATTCAGTATAAATGACGTTATTCACGCAAAAATAAGATGAACAAAAAAAGTAATTTTAATAATATTAATCGGTTAATCAATGTAGAAAAAACTAGCAATTATTTTTGTCCGATCAATGATTGGATGAAAGACTCAAGAATGTATTTTGGAATCAGAGTGGCAACGAGTTCTTTGGTGGGAGAAGAATGGAAACTCAAAGAAATTAGAAAGTGTTATTTTTTTTTGTTGCCTTTCCATTTACCAAATAGATATTTTTTATGAAGACAGTAGGAAGGGAACAACTTTTATTGAAATAATTAGGAAAGAAAAATAGCATACTATTGTCTCATGGTTAATTGGTCCACATATCTGCTCTTGTACCAATAAACAAGTTACGAAAGGAAGGGCCAAGTCTCTTTGACATGTAAAACACTTCAACGAGCATCTTATGGACCCCATGTTATAGAAATTACAGGGGGCCATGGGCCCAAGTTATGACTTAGCTCTATCCCTATATGGAAGATAGTATTATTTTATTTTCATTTATTTCATTTAATTAATATTTAAACATACTTACATCAGATTTGACTTCTCTCCAAATCTAAAATAATTGGTGAATCCTTTCGATTCTTTTTTGGGTGGTGAAGGTCGTTCTATGTCATCAAGTTTTATCTCCTTCACAAAACACTTGAAATTTTAAAATTCAAAAATAAATTAGGTTTATTGACATTAACTGATCTTCACCCTTAAAAAATAATTAAAAGATTCTCAAATTATTTTAAAATTTGAGAGGAGTCTTATCAGAGGTACTTCATGGGTGCAGGCCATTTAATTTAGAATTCCCAACTAGAGCTGTTGGAGAGGGTTCCGTAAAAGTGGTAGGTAGTGTATGTATTACGAATAACTTATTAAGAGGAACACAACCACCCATTGATAATTTTTTCTTAAAAAAAATAAATAAATATGCAATTGCACTATTGAAGTAGAAACACGAAACCTGCACAGGGTAAGCTAATTGTGTGGAGTTAACTTTATATCGCGCCATATATTCAAATGTTTTAATTTTAATTTCTCTTCTTGGCGTTTCATCAGTATAATAGACACATGTGATTTGCTTCCGATTGAAGGTATCGAGCTTTATTTTTCCTAAGTTCAAAGAGAAGGTCTCAGATGTTTTTCTTGTGATTAAAAAAAAATTCACATCATGTATGACCGAATACTTTTTTTTTTGTTTGTTTAATGACCGGATACACCAACTCCTTACATCGACATTGATTAGTCTTCTAAGGAGCCAAAACGAGAGACGCCATGAGAAAGGTTCCACCTTATCACTAGTGTGTGGATTGTGGGCATCAACCCTCTTTTAGAGAAAATATTCATTGCAACGGTGACACCATCTAATTAAAAGATAACGAATAAGTAAAATAAATTCCACTAATCTTATATGTTACTGATTGGATATGGTGGTTTAACAAAAAGAAATCTGTCCAAGTAACATGCATGGTTTAGCAAAAAGAAGTACCTAATGATTAGTGGTTGTATAGGAGTATAAAGTTTGCGTGTAATCTAAATACGTAATTTGTGATGGATTATATGTATTTAAAAATTTTATGTTATGAAAAATACATGATTAAAAAATCAAAATATTCGGTTATAAAGAAATCATTAAAAATACTATTATAGATTTGTATTTATAAGTCGATGTATATACTAGGTTGTTTCTTCTCCATGGGTGCAGTTAGTGCACCAAAATTTGTAAATGGATTCATGTTTGAAATGTAAACTAACACTTTTTTATCTTTTCTTCTCACTATATTTTAAACAAAATAGGAGTTTTGTTATAAAAACAACTATATATAACAAGCCTGGACAAAATTAAAACAAGAGGGAAGCTGGAAGAAAGAAAAAGGTTCCCACTCTTATCGCTTATTTATGTGGATTGTGAGCATCAACCTATCAACCTCATTTGGTGCCACCATGACAGGCTTAGATCTATCATGACTTGAATATTTAAAGTCAGTCAATGAAAAAAAGTCACTGCACGAAACTTGACTTGGAACTAGTCCCCCATAATTTGAAAGAAGTTATTGCCTGTGCATCTTTATATTTAAAAAGTAAGCAGACACTTTTAATATCTCTTTTTTTTTTTTTGAAATAAGTGTTTAAGCAAAATATCAATTTTGGTTCAAAAAACAAAAATATTAGGGTGCGTTTGGTAGGTGTTTTTTATTTCACATTTTTTTGTTTTAATTTTTTGCAAAAAACGAAAATAAAAACGCCTTTGGATTTGTGTTTCTGTTTTATATAAAACAAGTTGTTTTGAAGACAATGCCCAAAAACAAGAAATAGAAAAAAGATGTTCCAAAAAACAAGGGATACAAAAACAAGCACGTGGGGCTGGGGGAAGAGTTAGTGAGATTCAAACTTCGAGCTTTGTTAGCATCAAAAACGATATTTTTATGTGGAAGTATCTAAACTCATTTCATTCTCTCTCTCTCTTTCTCTCCATTGCCTTTGTCCATCCAACGAAGACCGAAGGTCTTCGCCGACGATTGTCTCTTCTCCTATGCTCCTCACGATCATTTTTTCTCTGGTAGTCCTCACAATCGTCTATTTTTGTTCGATCAATGATTGGATGAAGGACTCAAGAATGTACTTTGGAGTTATAGGGGCAACAATTTCTTTTGTGAGAGAAGAATGGAAACTCAAAGAAATTAGGAAGTGTTATTTTTTTATGTTGTCTTTCCATTTACCAAAGAGATATTTTTTATGGAGTCACTAGGAAAAGAACAACTTTTATCAATCTAATTAGGAAAAAATTAAATAGTATGTCATTGTTTTCTGATTAATTGGTCCACATATCTTCTCTTGTACCAATAGGTAAGTTATCAAAAGAGGGACCAAGTCCCTTTGACATATAAAACACTTCAGCGACCATCTTATGGAACTCAGGTTATGGCCCAAGCCATGACTTAGCTCTGTCCCTGTATGGAAGACAATATTATTTATCTTTTACTTCTCTTTGTTCATTTATTATTTTTTTTTTTGTTATTTGGTTATTTATTGTTTTATCAATCATGATACAATCATCAATTTCTAGAAATATTAATGATGATCTAAGATAGATTAAATAATGATTTGACACCAATTAATATTTGAACATATTTACATCTGATTTGACTTCTCTCCAAATTTAAAATAATTGGTGAATCCTTTTAATTCTTTTTGAATGGTAAAGGTGGCTCTATGTCATCAAATCTTCACAAAACACTTGAAATTTAAAAATTTAAAAATAAATTACGTATATTGAAATTGACAGATCTTCGCCCTTCAAAAATAATTGAAAGATCCTTAAATTATTTTAAAATTGGAGAGGAATCTTACCAGACTACTTAATGGGAGTAGGCCATTTAATTTCGAATTCCCAAGTAGAGTTGTTGGAGAGTAAAAATGGTAGGTGGTGTATGTATTGTGAATAACGTATCAAGAGGAACACAACCACTCACTGAATAACGTGTCATCACCGTCAGATAGTGTCACCATTGAATTAGAAGATAACGAATAAGTATAGTGGATTCCACTAATAATGAAATTCACTTTACCGAACCTATTTCTATTCTTTTAATTGGACGGTGACACAACGTGACAGTGATGACGTGGTGTCACTGTTAGATTAAATATTTGCTCCCAATTTTGGTGCAAAGGTCACCATGTAAAATTCGGTGTGTCGCTTTAATGTCCTTGTCAATCAACAAAAATATGGCCTGTCAAACAAAAAATCAGTCCAAGTACCACGCATGGCTTAACAAAAAGAAGTACCCCACTGATTTGTGGTCGTATAGAAGTATAAAGTTTGTGAGTAATCTATAAACGTTATTTGTGATGGATTATATGTATTTGAAATTTTTATGTTATGAAAAATACGTGATTAAAAAATCAAGATTTTCGGTTATAAAGAAATCATTAAAAATACTATTATAGATTTGTATCTACAAGTCAATGTATGTACTGGGTTGTTTCTTCTCCATGAGTGTAGTCATTTCAGATAATGATTTTTTTGGAAGTGGAATCATGTTTGAACTATAAGCAGACACTTTTTTTTTATCCTTTCTTCTAACAATATTTTAAACAAAATAGGAGTTTTGTTATAAAAGCAATTATCTGTAATATAAAACAGGAGAGATTTTAATAAATTTATCTAATGGACTCAAATAAATTAATCCAATGACCATCAACATCTCTTTCAAAACCATTCATATTTTACTGTGTCTGAAGGTACGGGAGTATATAACAAGCCTGGACAAAATTAAAACAAGAGGGAAGCTGGAAGAAAGAAAAGTGTCCCAACTCTTATCGCTTCTATATGTGGATTGTGAGCATCAACCTATCAATCTCATTTGGTGCCAACATGACAGGCTAAGACCTTTTGTGACTTGAATATTCAAAGTCAGTCAATAAAACAAAGTCACTACACGAAACTTGATTTGAAACTAGTCTACCAAAATTTGAAAGAAGTTATTGTCTATGCATCTGTATATTTGAAAAGTAAGTAGACACTTTTAATCTCTCTCTCTTTTTTTTTTTTTTTGAAATAAGTGTTGAAGGAAAATATCAATTTTGGTACAAAAAACAGAAATATTAGGGTGTGTTTGGTTGGTGTTTTTTATTTCGCATTTTTTGTTTTTGTTTTAACTTTTTGCAAAAAATGAAAAAAAAAAAAACCATTTGGATTTGTGTTTCTATTTTATATAAGACAAGTTGTTTTGAAGACAATGCCCAAAAACAAGAAATAGAAAAAAGATGTTCCAACAAACAAGAGAAACAGAAACAAGCACGCGGGGCTGGGGGGAGAGTTAATGAAATCTAGACTTCAACCTTTGTTAGCAACAAAAGGGTATTTTTGTGTGGAAGTATTTAAACCCATTTCATTCTCTCTGTCTCTATCGCCTCTCTCTCTCTCTCTCCTCCCTCCATTGCCTTTGTCCATCCAACGAAGACTGAAGGTCTTCACCAACGATTGTCTCTTCTTCTATGCTCCTCTTGATCATTTTTTCTGTGGTGCTCCTCATGATTGTCTATTTTCTCTCTCTCGTCAATGGTGGTGTAGGTGGTTAGACATAAATTTATTTGTGCTTAAATCAAGTTATGTTGATTGTTTAAAGTTCGTGTGTAATTTATATACATGATTTGTGATTGATTACGTGCATTTGAAAATTTTTTATATTCTAATTTTGAAAAATACATGATTAAAACAAATATTTATTATTAAAAAGCAATCATTAAATTAAAAACACCATAATAGATTTTTATCTACAAGTCCACGTATATACTGGGTTGTTTTTTTCTCCATGAGTGCAGTAATTTCAGATAATGACTGATTTGAAACTAGCGCACCAAAGTTTGGAAGCTGCTCTTAAATGGTTACCTTCATGTTTGAAATGTAAGTAAACACTTTTTATCTTTTCTTGTAAAAAATTAAGACAAGAGGAAAAAAGTCTCCCGCCCTTATCTCTTTTGTATATGTGGATTGCGAGAATCAACCTATAAGCCTCATTTGGTGCCAACATGATAGGCTAGGCTTGTCGAATAGTCAAAGTCAATCAATGAATAGATCCCATTCTAACCCCCACCTGGCTGCTCAATACCAACCATTAGAGGTGAGGAAGATGGATCAAACTTCCTAAGGGGATAGGAATGTACTGAATCAACAGGCAGGCAGATAGGACTTTAGCGAACGAGTCATCTCCAATTCCCGCTAATCACTCTACTCCTCCTACGAACCATTGATGAGCCAGCCGAGCTTGTTTGTTTAGTTTGGTTTTGTCTTTCTCTGAGTAATGCCCTAAGGTTTGATATCCGGGGTCAAAAAATGAGCTAAGCGCCGAGCGAAGAACCGTACCAAGGTGAGTACAGGGATGTGGTGAAGCATACCGAGAGAAAAAGCACTGAAATGAACCATATCGAGCACGGGTCTCACTCTACAAGTTCAGTTCGATGCCTTTTAAGGGGATTTGATCTAATAGGGAACGAGACTGAAGTGATCCCGAGCGGAAGGGAGGACCCCTAATTCGTGGGCTGAGTTCGAATAATATGCACTGAGTACTCGAACATAGTAATAGAGAGGGGTAAGGACTAGGGAGTTGGAAGACTTTTGTGCTAGTTCAGTTCTTCTGATTCAACAAAGTACTCGTACTCATTTAGTAGAGTTGTTGACCATAGATAAGGAATGGTACGTACGCACGTATAACATCATATCATGCTGCATTTTTCTTTCTCATTCCCAAAGCAAGCATCTTTGCCCACTTACCGGCCTCGTTCGTAGGCCTAGCCTACTACCCCACCTGACTGATTTGTCTCAGAGGGTACTGTTTCAAGTTGTAAAACCACTCCGTTACCAGAGGGAGAAGACGAAAGCACAGCCATACGGGGAGGTTCGTAAGGCCAGTGAGGGCGAGTGGAAGGACTCAAGCAAGGCCCATACCATCCGGTCACGTCTCTTGGTCCGAGGGGACGCCAGAAAAGGGGGATAGAAGAAGCACCCCGAGAGGGACGGGAAGGATGTGTCTGGTGGACAAGTACCTTAAGTGACAGTTCAATCATAATCTTAATAAGTAAAGGAAATCGTTTTGTGTCCATCTACGGAAGAAGGCTTGTCTCAAAGAAAATTTGGATTCTAGGTCCAGATGTGGTAGAAAGAAGGGCTTAAGATAGATAAGGAATAGTAAGAGTTAATAGACTGCCTCACTAATAATCTTCCTTATCGTACTACTGTACACAACTAGAAAAGGGGCAACAACTCTTTTTAAAAGAAGGAACCAAGGGATTCGCTGGGCTAGGCTTGTCGAATAGTCAAAGTCAATCAATGAAAAAAGTCACTACACGAAACTTGATTTGGAAAGTATGTAGGCACTTTTAATTTTTTTTGAAATAATTTTTTAAGCAAAATCTCAATATTGTTTAAAAAACCAGAAGTATTACTTTACATAAGTGATTTACATGCATATTTGTATATAAATAATATACTTATATGTGTGTGTGTATATATATGTTATATTATGTTGCATGTAATTAAACTTAGAGAAAGAAATAATCAAAAGAGAGAAGCAAGGAGGGAAAAGAAAGGTCCCACCTTTATTACCTCAACGTGGATTGTAGGCATCAATTAATCAACCTCATTTTGGTACCAA